AAAGAAACTGACAGCACGAACGCCACTGACATCGATTAGCCGCCATTTCTTGCAACGTTTTCAGCCAAGCACAGACAGGGTCACGGCGACCCCATCCTGGGAGGCGTACAACCCCAACAACACCCAAACTCTTCGTGATCTCTTTCACGCGTCAAAAATTAGGGATTCCGGGAGAAGTTCTCGCGCTAAACAATCAGCTTCAGTGCGGATTAGGTGGAGAACAAAAAGGAGAAAAACCTGGTGGATAAAACCTGGTACTCACATGCCCTGACCACCACTCAGCTTGCGCAGATACGCGTGAAACGACATAAATTTCACTGGCGGATCCAAGTGTTCCAGGTAGGCAGCATCAAATGGCTGGAGAAAAAAACAGAAGGAATGGATATATGAGTGCGGTGGGAAAAGCGTTACAGGTTCGGAAAATTTGACAAGTGAAGTTTTTGAGATTTCAATTCTCTATCCATGTGTTCATCTGTGAAACGCTTGTGCGAATTACCACGACAGGAACTGGCAGTCGGTTTGAGGTTGGAAATTCTGGCTACCGAAATGATAAAACATGACCTTATCCCCTCCACTAATCGGAGCATTTCCAGTCACAGAGTGAGGAATCTAAAACAGCACAATGGCGTGACCGATCCACTGTAAATTTCCAACTTATCCACTTAGAAGGTAATGTCATTGGCATCGACCAGTCGGGACTGAACGGCCAAAAACCAAACAAATATTTGCACCCCGTTTATTTGCTACAGAAATCTCTATGATCGATCACCGGGGTGCATATCATCAGTAGAACTTGTTCGTTGTTCGCCTTGTTCGGACAGGTTCACACCGCGAATCAACAATCTTAAATTTTGAGTACATTCAAGTGTTAACGAGATAGCGCCTATGCAACCAAGTGGTAACGTGAACCGAGCGCTTTAGAGACAAGAATACCAGCTTTGCGTGAAACCATAATTCAAGTGAGAAGTCATAGTAAAACGGAGATCGGGCACACCGGTTTCTTGCCTCAGTAGACAAGTAAACCCTACCATGGATGACGGCGGACTGCATCCAGTTGACCCAGGCAACTGTTCACTTGTGAATAACTTCGAGAATTGTAATAGTTTGTTGTGATCGTGGCTGATCCACACCAAGAAAAAACAAAGCACGGATATTTCGGGAGCTCATCAGTGATGCACATGCTCAGGGGTGACAAAATTTGAACCCCGAACATGTTACTAATAACAGTACATAAGCGCACACTGCACATACCTGTATAAACCAGCCTGAGCAGGCAAACGTTCATGTCTGATGTATGACACCTCAGTTTCTCTTGGCCTAAACTAACATTAGTACACGATCGACAACCCACCCGGCAGGCGATAAGTACACATAGCACACAAATTAACCACGCAACATTGTGACCCTACATCCATTGTGAAAGTGCGGTCCTTTGTACATCACTAACTGCCCGTTTGCTGATCATCTCTTTACATCTTCGTTGCCCCCCGGCATACCAGCCATGGCATTACGATAACACTAGTCAAGTATTCGAAAACAGTGGTCACATTTCAAAACCGCACAAAACAATGTTTGAGACCCAACTATACGTGGTTTGGGAAGCGCAAGTGGTGTCACTTTGCGATCACGGGTTGTGTTATGAAAATTCCATGCTTCCATCACTTATGGGTAACAATCCCCCACAGATGTAAGGCCTTCCATGGTGTAATAGAACAGTGACGGCGTGTACCAGAGTATAAGCACAAAGCAGACCACAGAAAATATTGATCGGTCCTCTTGTATGCAGCGGCACCTAATCGGAAAACGAAAGTAGTGTCATTTAGTTAATCTGGACAGTTAGGGTTCCAGGTGGGAGAGCTTTGAAAACGGAAGAACCGGTGGATCCCCATTGCTCACCTACTTCTTGTCGATCACATAATTAAACAAAAATGGAACGAACATCTTTGTCGGACAGTATTAATGAAGACGAGGCCAGATGTTTTGGTAAAAGAAACTACTCACAGCCCACTCCTCGATAGCCCACGACCGATTTCGCTCTTCTTGGGGCTAAACAGGTAGGCGCAGTCCTAAAGTTTCCGTCAACCTTCTTCTCTACTTTGCAGACCAAACTGATTTGCAAATGAGTGTAATTCTCGAAAATGAGGCCAGATGGTTCTCTGCACACCCATCAGACGGAGGAAGTGACAAGTACTTGCTGTGTCGGCGTATCAATCGACAGAACCGGGTGCGCCAAAACGGAAGATGAGAACTGTCCATCACCCACATTTAGGACAATGCATGAAGAGGCAAGCATACCTAGTCAGCTTGGGCGTCTACACCCTGAGGTATCACTCCTAATTTCTGGCCAGGATTTCGTGTTCCACCGTACGAAAAAAGGGTCATGGTTTAGGTAGAACGACTCTCGATCAGGAGTGCAAAGATAAGCACAAGCCAGCCAGCAAAATGGGAAATTTCCAACTGTCCCATCCTGCAACAGTAACCTTCGCCTCCGCCCAAAAAACCGGCTTCGGTAGGTTCGACTATCGTTGGAACTGACCATACCGAGGGAAAAATGGGTAAGCACGTTGGTAATGAATCAAACTGCTACGAAGGGTAATCGCTGACGGCATCGTAAACGGTACGCTGGAAATCGCCAGACTAAACATACAAATCACAGGGTAAAAGGGTATGTTATCAGTAAGGAGGGGGATTCAGATGTGACTAACCTCAAGTGGGACACAATGTATGCACTTTCCCGATTCCGGATGGTGACATCTGGAATAGCGAAACAGAAAGTGCGAAAAGCTGAGGAGACGGTCAACATCTGTGCTTAGAACAGGACAAGCATACACACACAGAGGGAGGTCAAAGATGAGACCTGGCCTATTCGAGCAGCGGACCTGAGACGTCTTCAGGTGGTCGACAATCCTTATCTCAGAACCATAGCTAGGGTGGGTTGGTGTCGGCGAATCCGTAACGAGGCAGTTAGAAAAAGCGTTTTCGGTTGTGCAACGGGTACTTCCATTGAAGAATGTGTCCAGCACCAGAAGCCGCGTTGGTTAGGACATGTGTTACGTATGCCGAACCATCGTTTGCCGAAGAGAGTACTGTTTTCCATGCCCAACTCAGAGTGGCGTAAACAGAGAGGTGGCCAACCCTTGACTTGGCAGAGGAGTATAAAGGAGCTCACGAAACGTTTGGGTGCTGTCGGTGCTACTCGCCTTCCAGGATGGAGACCGCGTGGTCCTCACTGTGCCAGGCTAAAGACACTACAAGATATGGCTGCCAACCGATGACGGTGTTGTTCTTGTTGTCAGTTTCTATCCAGATCACCCGAGTGAGTGTCTGGAGGTATAGGCACCTCGGAATGATTGTGTTAAGCTAGCACTAAGTCCCTCCCCCATCCACCTTTATTGTTTTCTTTACAATAAGGCTTTCAAATAAATCATGGGTGTACGGCAGTNAGGATGTTGAAGACTGATGTCATGCTGTCGATGATGATGATCATGATCATGATGAGAGATGACCCAATCTTGAAGGAGAAGCCTGGTAGTGTAAATCACGCAAACGATTTTCACCTTTAGTCTTCTTGACAGAAGTTTATTCAAAGGTGGCTCAACAGAGTATGGCAATGTTGCGGTTATAAAGAACAGGGTCTTCGGTTAACAGATAACTGGAACCAAGCCGTCAACTGACCAACGACACACCAGATGGATTAGTGACGGTGCCGGACGGATCCAATTGTTGGTTGAAAAATCGTTCAGCTGTAGCACCCTTTCGGTGCCTAACTGCCATGCCATCCGGAGGTTGCACGAAGGATGAGACATTGCCAGGTTGCCCAAGCCTAGGAAGGAAAGTCGAGAGGTAGAGATCGAGTTCGAACCACGGACCTTCCGGTCGGAAAATTCCCGCTCTAACCACTTGGGTCATCTCGCCATCCCCCTATTGCTGGTAAATGAAGATTTACTGCCAGAGGTCTTTCAAATAAGACATCGTTTACCTCTCATTGGTTAGAGCGGGAATTTACTGACCGGAAGGCCCACATTTCAAACCCGACCTCTGACTCTTGACTTCTCGTCTAGCCTTGGGGAACCTGGCAGTATCCAAACCCTCGTACTGACTTCGGGTGGCATAGCGGTTAAGCATCAGAAGGGAGTTACAGGGAGTTAACGATTATTGTCTTTTTTATCTCTGTTTTGCTTCTTCAAATGGATCCATTACCACTTGGTGCGAAACTCAATTTCAAATACCTCCCCGAATGTCGTGACACATTGCAACTTTTACCCAACTTGCGACTTAAAACGATTGTGCCATTCCCTCGCTGCACATTTATGGTTGGAAATAATGAAGGAGCATATTCATCACTTAAATACCAAATCTTTTCGTTTGATCAGCTAACTGAGCCATTTTTCAGTTTCGGCCTTGGGTTTCCAACAAATTCGCCATGGACCTGCACAATAACTCGACCGCGATTAGGGAACTATCTGAATCAGATGGTCAAAGAGAAAGGTACTTCTCAAGTGAATTCGCGTAGTTTGTCACTATTAACGTTAACTGCACAATAACTCGACCGCGATGAGGGAACTATCTGAATCAGATGGTCAGAGAGAAAGGTACTTCTCAAATGAATTCGCGTAGTTTGTCACTATTAACGTGATCAGCATCACGAATCACATTCTGCGCCTTCCATACCATACCAATATTGCTATAAGACTTGTTATTCCTGTGGACAGGAATTCCACGTGCAACAGTTTTATGGGCTGAAGGATAAGTGAGGATCACACTCCAAGTCGGTTGAAGTTAACGTAAATATCGTTCAGCTGTAGCACTCTTTCGGTGTCAAACTGTCATGCCACCAGAAGGTAACACGAGGGTTGGGATACCGTCAGGTTGTCCAAGCCTAGACAGTAAGTTCGTGCGTCAGCCACCGAGCCACCTCGAGCTATCATACGATAACCGCAAGGTGTGAACAATTAAAGCCGGAAATGAATGCACTGAATTCAAGGCATATTTACCAGATGAACTGAAAACAGAGTATACCAACAAAAGCTGCAGGAACGTACAGTTGCTCGTTCCGCTTCCGTCTGATTTGGCCATCCATTTTAGCCATCTCCTGATCGATCTTGTCTTCGACGACGATTTCACGGTTGCCGGGTCGAGCTGAACTTTTCGATCCATTGTTCAAGCTCTAAAGAGTGACGCAGACAAATAGCACTTGGTGAGGTGAAGTACTATGGATAAGCGCCAAAGGGTGGGACAAAAGCTGCGCTAGCATCTGTCAACAGATAAGGATACATGCCAGAAGTGAATGAGACGAGCAGAATTCCATGACACTCACTAAAGCTAACAGCAGGTCTGTGAGATCCTTGAGTTCTGTTGGGACTGGCAATAAATGTAACACCACTAACAAACTTCCAGCGCTATCCGTTCGAGGTAGCCGAACGAAACCGGAATGAACGGCGTGTATGACGAATAGCTAGCGGTCCCAAACATATACCTCAAAACCAAGCCTTGCAGCTAGCCATCTTTCGCCACGTCTTCAAACACTTTACAGTTCTTGGGCGAAGTTTGACTGGTTTCTATAAAGATAGCGTTGTAAAAGCTTCACTTTCTCGTTACACTGTCTCCAGCTAACGTGCCTTCTTATGTATTCCGGGAGGCAATAGACCCAACCAAAGTTGGTTAAAACAGGACAAGAAAACAAAGTTCACCGAGTATTGAATTTGCTCATTCATTAATTGAATGATCACATAATATTCATACATCATCACCCATAACGGAAACTGGTGCCTAACTGCCACAACCCTGGGGGAAGATGTCTGAATCAAAAGAGCAAGGGTGAGGACATGTAAAAAGCCATATGTATCTAGAGAAAACGGCAAAGAGAAATGCATCTGCAGATTACAAAATCACAGAAATAGACACCCGAGCATCATATTGGAGACCGTTTGTGCTATGTCCTGTACGGTTACAAGCCACTTGAAAGAATTACGTGGACCCGCCAGGGTAAGCGCTAAGATCCAGTGGCGTTAAACTTGACAGTGTCCTATTTCATTTCCCGCGCCCTCAGCGAACTTCCCGTCGACGAGAGCTTGGCGTAGAAAACAGCTTTCTTTGGTAGACGGCGGTCGGACATATGTACAACACGCCACAAGCACCTTGACCTGATAGCCGTTATCTACGGCTCAAGCGAATCCGACTACCTACCGCAAACTCACTCACAGATCGTTTCATTAGGCACACGCTGCAGCCAGTTCGTATTTGCTATAATATGGAGATGTCAGTGAGCAAGTGTCCGAATACCCTTGAGATCCTTGAACCGGGGACGAGATTCTAGATGGATACAGTAGGACTGTTTTATACGGTTATTTTATAAAGACACTTTTCGTTCAGCTGTAGCACCCACTCGGTGCCTGACTGCCACACCACCAGAAGGAGGCACGATGGCTGGGATACTGCAAAAGTGCCCAACCCTAGAGAGTAGTGGTCGAGATGAAGGAGTTGGGTTCGAAACACGGACGAGGTTGCTCAAGGGTCGAGATGGCTCAGTGGTTAGAGCGCAAACCTACTGACCGGGAGGTCCATGAATCAAACCGACCTCTGCATCTCGACTACTCCTGTCTACACTTGGGCAAACTGGCAGTAACCCCATCGTGCCTCATTCAGGTAGCATGGAAACTACGCACCGTAAAGCTGTTGCAGCTGAACTATTTTCTTTATCGTTTAACCACGGATCTACCAATCAGTAAGTTCGTGCCTCAACCACTGAGGTAACTTAAGCACAGTGAGGATCGAGTGGACCCCATTCTGCAAGGCGGACAGCAGTCGAACTTCGAGTAACACTTCACCTCTTTCTGTCACCTCGTATTCTATCCGCCCGTAGGTCCCCGCAACTCTAACTTGTTCTCAGAAGATGGCAACTTGGCTGCTAAAGCATGACCCAGCCACATTTGCCTGTAGTGCTGAATCTAGGTCTTCAGTGAAATACGTTCTGTTTCACCACTCCGGTCGTCGTGTGGCGTCACCAGCCCGATCGTCTTACTTACTGCATACAGTAGGGCTTTGTAAACGAAAATATGCTACTGTTGACGCCTCATTTTTTACAATTTAATGTATTTCCTCTCCTTCCCTATTCCACCCGGAGTTAAATACTCTCTCTCCGCAGGTCCCAACACTAGGACCGACCGCTTCGTTCGCCATGCATCAAGCTCACCCGCAGCTTCTCTGTGTGCGATTACAGTAACAACCCTAAGCAAATCGAAGTCTGATTTCGAACCTCGAGAGCTGATCTATTTACCTGGCTTTGATGTCCGCACACTGAAGTGAGCATGACAACAAGTGACCCTTACTAGTACGCTGGAAGTCCTCTGTATTGATGTATGGAAGTATTGTAAGTAAACTGTCCCCTCGATCTCTGCTAGGTTCCAGCTGCATACCTCTGAGGATGCGGAGGCCCCTGCAGCCGGATATGCCTGTGTGGGTGTTGTTTTGAGTGATCGAACGAAAGCATTACTACTTGAGCGCATGTCCGTTGACAGCACCTCTGCGTTGTTCGTTTGACAACGTCTGTGGAAGAATTTCGAGAAAATGGGGTCCACCTCACATTGTTTTTGTACATGCTTAGGCTTCATCAGACTATGCTTCTGAAACTGTCAAAGACAGTTTCCATGACGCTCTAGGCGCCCTTCCAAAAAGGGGTAAATGCTCAGACACTGTTGTAATTGCTGCTGACATGAACGCCCAGGTAGATAAACTAAGCGCTGCTGAGGCCCAATTGGATGGAATTCTAAGTCTGGGTACTACACGCACAGAAAACTGGGAGCGCGTGCTTCAGATGTTTACTGATCTCAGAATGTTCCCATACAGTACCGACTTCCAGGAAAGCCGAAATCTCTCGAGAACGTGGTGCACACAAAAGAACACGTCCCGAAGACAAACAGGCGACATCGCCATCAGTAACTGGTGGCGAGGATCGATCCGCCTGCCACTTCTTCTGGAATACCAGCGTGGGCTCTAATCACGAATTGGTCTGCTGCTGCTTTTCACTGCGCTTTTCGAGTGTGTGCGAAACGCACATACCTCGCTTAGCCACTGAGAAGCTAATGGACTCCGAATTCAAATGAACCTTCCAGAACCAATTCCAGAAAGCTTGCAGGATGATTACAGGACAGCCGTCACCGACCAATCGGAACAAATATGCAAAGCGTTCTTCAAGGCCGAGACCTTTAGCTGTTGTACAACCCAACCAACATCGTCTTTCCTAGGACCATGGCTTAGCAGGATGCCCGGCGAAGTTCTCCTCCTAGCCACAGTCTTAACTCCACCCAAAGCATCTTTCGATTGTCCGTGCGAGCCGAGAAGCTTGACGAGCCAAAAATGCCGAGTGGAAGATGGGGAAAATGCTGGAAACATCCGCAGGCTGTGTCACTTGATCCGTCCAACTGGTCCTCGGAAGGCTCTAGTCAGCGAAACTATCAGGGACCAATGTGGCTCTGATATGCAGCAAAGGAGAACATTTGGACTGTTTAACATAACACTTTGAATAACAATTCAGTTGACAACCCGCTGGCTCATATCTGGGCTACCGGTCTTCTAAAGAAAGATGGAAAGTGAACATGGAGACCGTTTCGGTCTCAGAAGTATCCGAGTACGTATATCTCTGCTCAAGCGTCATCGTGCTCCAGGTCCTGATTATCTTCCACCTTCTCCGTTGAAGGATGATGGTAGGTTCCTCAGTCCGTGCCTCTCTAGGCTATCTGCGCCTGTCTGCGAGAGGAAGGCCGTCAAGTGTGTTGAATCGGTAATGGTGTTAACCTTCAAAAAAGGTATTCCCAGTGGATGCAGTAACCTTAGAGGAATCAGTCTGACTCGTTGTAAGAGTCTTCTGGCATCATTGACCATTCGTCGCCTTACAGAGGCGAGCGAAGCATTGACCCGAGAACATCCACCGGGATAGAACCAGGCAGACGCTGCGTCGACCACATCTCCACACTAAGTCGTGATACAAGTGCGGACGACTGATATCTCGGGGTTCCTCGGCTTCGTCGATGCTTCAGTCGATGCTACACAACGTGGAACGTCCCGGACGTTTGTGAACATAATTCGGTCCATAAATTCACCTGCTTCCGGGTGCGTATCAGTGTAAGATGAGCTCCGAGGAAGCTTTCCTAAAAAAGTGGTGTTCGACAAAAATGTCCATTACCTCCATTCTTGTTCGAATTCGTCACTGATGGAGTAATGAAATGAACATTAGGTCTTAAAAACTCTGCTGTTGAAATCGGTGCCGGTGAGAATCTTATCGATCTGGAGTACGCAGATGACATCGCCTTCATCTTTGAAGACGAAGGGGAAGCAAAATCTCTGTTGAGTAAACCGAACATCATTCTTCGCATGCATCTTACACATCCAAATTGCAGGCATGCTTCAGAATGTGCAGTCTTTGAACATACCCCTTACAGTCCAAAGAGAATCCCTGGAGGTTGAGGAATTTCACATACTTCGGTATTCTTATTAGCTCTGACAGAAGTGTGTCTGATGAAGTCAGTGCACAAATCCCAAAGGCTCGAGTCCGATTTGCTGATTCTGGTCATTTGTGGCGTCAAAAATTCATACCACTGGGTCTCAAAGGTCCCATGTAGACTACGGTAAGGGCTGTGTTGCTGCATGGTTGCGAGACATGGCCTCTGGGGACAGACGATGTCATCCGGTTTTCGACCACCCATACCTAATAGGTGTTGCTAGTGTCGGATAGTATCAAAGAATTTGTGACGAGGTAGTTAGAAAACCGGCAGTTGGTTGTGTAGCATGTACTTCCATCGCGGAAAACACCCACCAACTGCGATGGCTCTGTCAGATGCTGCGTATGCCGAAATATAGTCTACCGAGACCATTGTTGTTCTCCGTGCCTCCCTCAAAAAGGCACAAACCGCGAGGTGAACAAAGTATGACTTGACAGAAGGGTGTGAAAGAGATGGCAAGGAGTTTGAGTGTTTACGGTGTAGTGCACCATCCAAGATGGGGTCCCCGTGGCCTCATTTCCACTTGGCTAGAGACACTGCAAGAAATGGTGGCTGATCTATGTCGTTCATGCTGTCCGTTTCTCTCCAGATCCTCTGATTGAGCGCCTGGAGGTACAAGCGCCCCAGAATACTTGTGACAGGCTACCATAGAGTAACCTTCAAGCAATATTTTCTCTCTTCAACTCACCCAATTGGTTGGGATACTCTCTTCCGCCAAGATGGAGGTAAACAAGTTAGACAGAGACCGACTGAGTCTTACCCGCATTTTAAACACAGCTGGTGGTTCTTCAAGACCAGCACCTCGGTGAAACTTGAGAGAGACAAGGCATTCACTTCATCATAATCGTCATCATCGACAGCATGACATTAGTGTTCAACACCGATGCTTCACTACCATACAACCATGATTTATTTGAAAGCCCTATTGTAAAGAAGAGTGGACGGGAAAAGGCTCAGTGCTAGCTTACCACAATCATTCCGAGGTGTCCATGCCTCCAGACACTCACTCAGGCAATCTGGGTAGAAACTGACAACAAGAACGCCACTGACATCGGTTGGCAGCCATATCTTGTAGTGTCTCCAACCAGGCACAGTGAGGATCACACGGTCCCCAAAGGCATTCACTTACTCCCGAACACATCGGGGCTCAGCTGCAACTTGGGCGAGATGGCCCAAGTGGTTAGAGCACGAATTTACTGACCGGAAGGTTCGTGGTTCGAATCCGACCTCCGCCACTCGACTTCCCCTGTCTAGGCTTGGGCAACCTGGCAGTATCCCAGCCCTCATGCTTCTTTCGGGTGGCATGGCAGCTAGGCACCGGAAGGGTGCTACAGCTGAACGCAACAAACTTTCGATGCCTAAATGCCGTGCAACCCGAAGGAAGCACGAGAGATGAGATACTGCCAGGTTGCCCAAGCACAGACAGCAGAAGTCGAGATGCCGATGTCGGGTGCCAACCACGGACCTTCCGGTCAGTAAATTCGCGCCCTAACAACTGAGCTGTTGTTCTAAGTTTTCCGCTCACTGTTCGAGGCGTTTTTCATTAGTCAGTGTGATCGTCCCATTCTTATTATTGATGGCTTCACTCACAAGAGGTTTCCGGGGACCAGTAGCGCGGATCAACTGAGACGATCTTCGGGTATTCTCGGCTTTCTGGGCCTCTTCTATTTTCTTGGCTTTCCGTGTCCACCAGACTTAATGGTCGGCTCGCACGCTCCATACCACTTGAGATTTTATAATTCGTCGCGTCAAGTCATGTTCAGGACAGGCTGGGATATTTCTTCGCAGCCAGCTAGTTCCTGCTACGCTACGGATAGACCGCCGATCAAACGGTGGAGGCACTTGGGGTCTTCGTATCGGAAAGTGAGACCGCTCTTATAGTCACCTTATGTGCATTGTCCAATAGCTGCGGTGAAATTCACTTCTGACGCCGTAAGTGACGTCAACTAACGAAAGCTGCTCCTGTTTTAATTTCTCCGGCTAACACAATCCCTGATTGTGCAGTTTCAGAGACATAAGATGATAGGAAACCATAAAATAGGACTCTGCGCTCCGAGAGTGCAAAGTGTACGCCGAAGCACGTGTTTCGAAGTGGTTCCGTAGAGGACCCCTTTCCAAACTTCAGGGATAGGTTACTGTGGCCCAGAGTACAGAAGCTACAATCCATCCGCAGGGTCGAGGGTTCACCTAATGCTGTGAGAACCCTCGAAAACTGGTGAAGAGCATCTTGAGGCTGTTGTAACAAGAAGGTGTGGCCGAATTTCTGGGTGACACCCAAGTGAGATTAACAACATTACGGCGAGCCAACAACCTAACATGAGTTTGACATCCTCACACACCAGTAGGCTGATACCTCTGATCTGCTTCTCAATGAAATCCCACAGTGCTATAAAAAAGGAAAGGAATCGGTACGCCCGTTTCTACCTGCTTCTGTGAAGACGATGGATAATCGCAAAAATAGGCATCACTCACATCGTCAGTTGGTGTGACACTATCCCCAGGAGCAGCGGTCCTGGATTTGTCTATCAGAAACAACATATCACCATGTCTGAACGCATGTCAAGAAAAAAATAATGTCCTACTTAATCCCCAAGGATTTTAGCTTGATGTTCCGGGTCCCCTTGATTCGTCCCGTATCATTCCTAGAAGTTGACAGAAACCAAGCTCCCTTATCGGTCAGTTTAAATTCGGAAGCGACGCATTGTAGAAGTTTCTCCAAGTTATCAGAATCCAGGATGTCAAATTTCCTTGTTCCTATTGAAGACTGTACACGCACAATCATTGTGTGAAAATCCTAGATCGAAGAGGAAACTCGGCGGCTAGCAGGATCAGCACCGACGCTGTCATTGGCCAGCCATGCCCTGATCAGGCGCCCAATAGGAGGGTCAGGATCTGAACAACAGAAGCAAGCCCAGCGGCTAGAGAGGATCAGCACGCTGTCATTGGCCAGCCATGCCCTGATCAGGCGCCCAATAGGAGGGTCAGGATCTGAACAACAGAAGCAAGGCCAGCGGGCGGCGGCACAATGTATTTTTCTGCAAAACGCCTGCGGACGAAATAAAAACTTTAACGTCAAAATGTTGCACTTCTTTGCATATATGCGTAGACTGAAAACCCCCTCATCTGCCGTTATTTTTTTGCGATTTGTTTTAATCGA